TCTATCTATCTATCTATCTATCTATCTATCTATCTATCTATCTATCTTTGGTTATTCGGGTTTTCTCCCGCGTAAAATTGGAAGTGTCTTGGCGACGTTTCGACGAAATCTCATTCGTCATCTTCAGGCTTGTGTCTTCAGCTTTGTGCTTCTTGGAGTAATGTGAGCTTGCAGCTGCTTCTTCCTTTTAACTGCTAGTGGGGGTGTGACTTGATTGGGTGGGGGCTTGGTTGTGTTCTGATTGGCTGGGGATGTGTTCTGTTCAGGTGGGGGCTTGGTTGTGCTCAGGTTAGTCTTAGTTGCCGGGGGATTTGAGCTGGTGAGCTGTGATCCTGTTGTTTGGCTTCGCGTTCGTGATTGTGCCACAAACATCTTCATGGTGGGCGTCCGTTTGCTTCATGTATGGGTCGGAGGGGTTTGAAGCGGGTAGTGATGCAGCTGCGGTACGACTTCTGGTCCGTGGTCGTGTCTCATCATCTGTGTGGGTGTGAGTCTGCTTTCTTCGTGGAGGTGTGGTGGTAGCATCTTGTGTGGCCCTTGTGGGTGTGGGTCTGGTGTCATTCTTCATGTTAGGTATTCGTTTGTTAGTGAGGGCGGGTTCCCAAATGGCTGGTAGGCGGGAGGTATCATCTCGTTTATTCATGCTGTGTGGGCATTTTTCTATCTCTATGGCTTCTCTGATTATTCTGTTGTTGAAGTGTTCAGTTTTGGCGATAGTTCTGGTATTTTTAAAGTCAATATCATGTCATGTGGCTTTGAGGTGTTGGACCAGGGAAGAGGTCGGTTCTTCTTTTTTGATTGAGTTCTTGTGTTCTTCAATGCGTGCACTTATTCTTCTGTTGGTTTGTCCGACCCAGGAGATTACAGCACAAGATCCAGGATATCTCCACAACAAAACCCACAAGGCCATCACACAGCCCATTATACCAACATCAACTCCATCAACCAATCAAGAGGCAGCAGCGCAGCCAACCAGCCCAGCACACCAGGCCCCACCACCAGTATTTATAGAGAGACGGCAGCTCTGATCACACACTGCTTGCATTGGCACGAAGCCGAAAGCACCAGCCTGAGGATGGCGAGTGGGACCTCGCCGAAACGTTGCCAAGATACTCTTAATCTTACACGGGAAAAGACCCAAACACACCTTTGAGAGCTGTAATGCAACCAAATTTTATTTTAAAGTATGCCGATTGGTTTACATTCAAAGTGACAATAAAGTTATTCTAAGTCATTCTTGTGCAGTCACAAGCCTCTTTGTCTGCCTGGTCGCTTGACTTTTTCCCCCTCTTCTCCATGCTATCGAGCAAACACCTGCCCAACCTGGTGACTTTTTCCCACCCCTCAGAGAGAGGTATTGCTCAGTCAAGGCATTCTGCCAGAGGAATGGGCCTCCATCCTAGGAATGGGCCACAGCCAGTCTTCTTGACAATAGACTTGCGGTTGCCATAAATGAAGCTTTTGCTGCCTTCTTCTACCTTCCAGGACCTTCTAGGTTGGAGTTACAAAAGTTTGTAAAAAGTTTTGAGCTTCCTTGAAAGTTTGTAAGTAGGAGACTGTCTGTACTAGCCATTTCCAACCATGGATTATCAATCTCTGTATTGTCTGGGAATTGTCTGTGCAGAGTGCTAATTTGGATAAGACTGGCTAAGCCAATGCAGTGTATGCAAATGGAGCTTCCATATCACCTTGCATTAAAAACATGGCTGGGTGTATGTGAATGTTGCTTTTGTGTTCTAATCTGAAAGGAATGTAAATCTTCTAGTCAAGGTTTGGAATGTGTCTATATAATCACTTTCTCCTGTTTGTTTTTAATAGTTTCCGACAGAGGAAAAAGAAGTGGAGAAATTTTGGTTTCTAACAAGAATAACGGATATTATCTGAGACAAAAGAGGGGGAAATATTAACAGTTCTTATTGGCTGGAAGCCTTTGCATATGCTGGGTTTTGTGGTTTTTCAGCAGATCATTGAATGCATAACTGTTATAATAGTGCTCAAATGAGGCATTAGAAATACTGGGGATCTGCTAGCCTAATGTAGAGATTCCCTAAATAATTTTCATGTTGTCCTTTTCTTGTAATGTGAGAGTCTACTCTAGACATGCAGATTTTGAGGACATTATTAAAATGACAAACAGACACAGCTAATGTGTTTTTAAATCAACAGATAAAGCTGCCATTATTTGGATAACAAACATCCAAATGACCACTTGGTTTCACTAAACAGAGTTTTCTCTCTGTTGCCATGTCCTAGTAATCTAATAGTGGCTAAAGTGCTGGTTTATAGACTAGGAGACAGTGAATTCTAGGCCTCCCTTCGGCATAAAAACCACGTGGGTAACTTTGGGTCCGTCACTCCTTCTTAGCCCAACCCACCATACAGGATTATTATAGGGATATTAAGAGGCAGGAGTATTAGGCCTGTTTGCCACCTTAAGTTATGTAGAAGAAAAGGTAGACTAAAAATCTAGTAATAATAATCTGGATTTTGGCAGTCAGATATGATAATCCTACCAACAAAAGCTAAAATTCCAAGCTTGTCTAACTCAAAAGACTCCCCAGTTGTAGAATTTGAAAAAAAGTATAACCATTTTAATATTGTAAGCCTCCCAGTGTTTACCATGTGGTAAGATGGGTGGCCCATGAATTTAATAAATAAATAAAATTATAAATGACAATAAAAGTCACACAAAATAGTTTCGACATTTCTACAAGACCCTTTCTGTTGAGAAAGTTAAACATGCTTGTGACTGTGACCATGATAAAAAGTGTTCCTGCATAAACCTATTTCTCAACAAACTGGAAAATATGTTTCTACTGCACATTTCAATTAAACAGTGACATTTCTAAAGGATATTATCAGCATTTAAAATGAAGCTTCCTGTAACCCATATTAACCATAGCAACAAATTCTGAATAGATGTTTTAAGACTAACAAGAGAAATAAGTTGAAACATAGGATGGGCAAGATAAGACACCATGGTTGGGAAATCAATGGCCCTGATCAGAGATATATAATTAGTTTTACACAGTTAGACTTTGAAGTCTAATACCATTATTGCAGGTGGAGAGCTTGAATGATGGATGTAATTTCTTCAATGGAGATACAAATTTTATTAATAATCCACAGGGTCACTTATCACTAATGGCTAGTGTGCCAATATGCACATTTTGGGAGAAAGCAGACCTTACCATAATTAAAGTAAATTTCTTTTTAATTATATCCAGGATACAAAAGGGGAAAATGAAAATGTCAGGGGGTTAATATATGGTACTTAATGACCTCAAAATGTTTTCAATTATAACTCTCTTAGTCTTGCAGGGCACATGATCAAAGATTCTGGGATTTAAGGGAAGCTGGTTCTAAAAAGTTTTACTGTTAACTATAGCACTGCGGGTTAAAATTTTCTATGCCAAGAACTGGTTCACCTGAAATGTTAACCCCATGATTTACATTACATCATGTGCAGCAGTCTGCAAATTCTATGTGACTGACAAAATCATTTTTGTATGGTTCCTGGATCTCCCAAAATTATATTGCTAAATTTCAATGGCAAAGTACCAAGAAACAGGTATAATTTCCTGCTGTTTCACATCTAAAATAAGACAAAAATACACAATAAGCCTGCTTGTAGGCTTAATGCACCAAAATCCAATTAATAAATAGAAATAAACATAGTTTCGCTATCATCTACTCTTTATCTGGATTACTACAGCTCAGCTATGTTAGTCATAGCTCAGATAAGGAAGGTCTGCTCTCTGCTTTTCTCCTTGGGTTGGTTCTGAGGATATTAAAAATGTCTAATAAAGATTAATCAAAGCTTATCATGTCATCTCAAACTTCTGCTGGTGTCAATGGGAGGAAAACCATGATATAAAGTTGCGTTATTTCAAAAAAATTCAAATTTATACTTTTCCCCCAATCAAAACTGGTAAATTGCCATTAATTAAAATGGATTTCCTAAAAATAATTTCCAAATCTTTCTTAATAGTTTTCCAGAGCAATATAGGATTCTTATCTGTCTGGCTGTTGTAAGGTTCAACCATGTGTTATACCTGAATACTAAACATTGAAGCTGTCTCTGGACCAACTAAAATGCCTTTAACTCCACTAGGATCATTTCTGGTTCTAGTAATACCAAAAATGTGAAGAAAATGGCAACATAATATTCATATACACTTATTCTTCTCCTACCCAAAAAGTTTATGCTTAAGACATGCTTAGGCATGGCAGACAAAGCCACATCATTTCTAAAAATAAAAATGTAACAACTTACCCATAAAATGTGAGGCGAAGGAATCCAATGCGCTGCCCAAGCTTCAGAATTTCTCCCTGTTTAATAGCAGCTCCCGTTAGTAGCACAATTCCCACCTTTTTAAGAGTAACCAACCACTTGTATGCACTTTCATCACTGTGCAATACCTCTTCAAAGTCTATAGTAGGGAGCTCAAGATCAGAACCCCAATATTGGCGCTCTGCATAAGAAATATATAAATCAATTATTATGAATTATTTAATCATTATAGAGAATTCCATTTTATTCTATATTGATCAGACTGCAACTTGGGTTTCGTGTTCAGTTTTAAGTATCATACTATACATTCAGACAAACAGGTTCCGAGAAGATCAAGGGGGACATATGGAGACTGAAGTAACTGGTAATATGTACACTTGACCAGAGGAGACTGAGTGGATGGCTTTTAAATCTTAAAATGATGTTCAAAAGATTTAAAACATCTTTTCCATCATTCCATAGAACAGGATGCAAAATAATAGATTCCAGTTAAAGGAAGGCAGATTATAAGTCAATATTTAAAAAAATTCTAGCAGAAACAACAATTGGATAGTGGAAGGAATTACTCAAGAGAACCAGGTTGATATGTAGTAAGACCTTCCACTGTGGATGAATAGCTACCAACCTGATGTGCATCACTGAGACTTAGAAACATAGAAAACTGACAGTAGAAAAAGACATCATGGTCCATCAAGTCTGTCCTTTGAGTTTTTTGTTTTCTTCTTAACTGATGCATTTATTATTTTTATTTATTGTTTTTATTTTTAATTTATTTTTTAAAAAAAGTTTGTCAGATGAGACCTGGGTAAGCCTGGAGGGAGATTGCCCTGCTCACACTTATGTCCATCTGGGTTTTGAGTCTAATACTAGGTGTGCTTCCAGGGAGAGGATGGAATGGCAGTTGTCATTAAGGAGGTCTCATGGACTTTTAGAGGTGCTGTTTTGCAGGTATTTGAATGTGAGATTCTCTGGCTGAAGCTCAGCTGTAGGGAGCACTTGGAATTGTTGCTCTTAGACTAGCTTCCCTGCTGGTGTAGTAATGTCCCTGCCTGAACTGACAGATTTCACCCCAGGTCGGTATGGAACCCCAAGGCTTGTTGTTCTTGGGGACTTCAATCTCATCCTAGGTGAGGCTGAGGCTGGGTGAGCTCAGGAGTTGACATCTACCATGGTAACCATGGAACCACCCACATGTACCAGAGGTCACACACTAAATCTGGTTTTTATTTCAGGGCAATGTGCATTTGGCTTTTGAGGATGTTACAGTTGATCTTTTGCCATGGTCAGATAACTCCTTAATTTGTTATTTAGCCTACTGGTGCTACCTCCTCTAGAAGGAAAATAGGACCTATTAGATTAATCTGCCACAGACAATAAACCCTGCTGGCTTTCAGAAGAAGTTTGGATATTTTTTTTCCTAAGGATCTGATGAGTATTTTAGCTGAGTCTTTGATCATTGTCTGTAATTAGGGCCTTTGGCTGAATTGTTGCCCTACGGCTTCTTATTGTTTGCTGATCCTGGAGAGATGCCTAGAACTCTGTTGGAGGAAGATGAAGAGCAAATCAGAGCACAAATAGAATCTCATATGAGAAATCACACTGTGGTAATAAGAGTAGCACAACATTATTTTTCAACTCTAGTCATCCAGATTCCCTTTTTAAAAATATGCCGCCTACGGTTAGACTTAAGTGTAGCACACAAAATTATCTGCTACAATGTCCTACCAGTCAATTACTACTTCAGCTTCAACCACAACAATACAAGAGCACACAGCAGATACAAACTCAATGTAATGTAAACTTGATTGCAGAAAGTACAACTTTAGCAACAGAGTGGCCTGGAATGTACTACCTGACTCTGTTGTTACATTCTCTAACCTCCACTCCTTTAACCTCAAACTAACCACTATTGACCTCACCCCATTCCTAAGAGGTCTGTAAGGGGAGTGCATAAGTGTACCATCGTGCCTACCGTCCCTGTCCTATTGTCCCCATTTATTCGTATCTATTTCCTGCATTCTTACCCATGTTTATACATATATCTATTATCTTGTAAGCGATTGACAAATCAAATCAAACCAATCAATCAATCAATATGATCCATGCCCTGCTAGGGAAGAATTAATTACATGACCATCTGCAGAGTCACTGTGAAGAATATTGGCAAATAAAATTATGAGGATTCCCTTGAAGCTGAACTATAACTTGTGAGTCCTAATGAATGATGGAAGCAAGGTCTTATGTGAGTAGCTGAGATGAGTTTGAGCCTATAACTCCTGAAGTGGTGAACAGGATCCTTGGATTGGTTAATATGACTACATGTTTATTATATTCATGACCCTCCTGATTGCTTAAGGCTATCCAGAAGGTGACATGAGGAAGGGGTGTTGGGTCCACTCAAGAGGCTTTGCTGAAACAAAGTTGTACTGGATAATTTTTATCCTATTTCCAACTTTCCTTTTAAGGTTGAAAAGGTGATTAGGTTCTATCAGGTAAAAGAAGAATATGACAGAAACAGATTTATGTGAACCCCTTCCTGTCAGATTTCAGGCTTGGATATAATAGTGAGAAGCTCAGGTTGCTCCTGTTAATAACTACTTTTGATAGGGCCAGAACAGGAGAGTGCAACAATAATTTCTTTGATGTTTTCAACAACACTAGACATGGCATCCTCCTGGTCTACCCACACAGTTTAGGAATGGAAGACACAATGTTGCAGTCTTTCACTTACTATCCCTATGGTTGGGTTCAGTTGGTTTGACAGGAGGGAAGAAATCAAGTCCAAAGCCTCTAGCGTGTGGGATAATTCTCTCCTCTTCTGTTTAACATTTACCATCGGGTGAGGACATTCATTGATTTGTAGTCATATATAATCAATATATGGAGGATACTTGACAGTACATCTTGATTCCAGAGTACCTAGGCAATGGTGGAGATTGCTGGAAGGGACAGAATTCAAGCACATCCCTGACAAAATTTGTTGTAATTGGGTTTTGGACCCCACAGAGATGGGGATTATTCATCTTTAATCCTGGACAGGGTTGCATTGCCCCCTTCCAAACTGGTGCACAATTTGGGGGATCTACACAGACCAGTTTGGAAGAGGGCAGTGCAACCCTGTCCAGGATTAAAGATGAATAATATAAAATTGGACTGCTTTAAAAATGTAATGGAAGATTAATAAAATAAATACAATAAGAATAGTAATTCTTTAGTAGCACTCAATTAGAAATAATAAAGAACATTAAGGCAGGCTGAAAGCAGCTGAGTAACATTGCATGATTATTATGGAACAAGTCCCGTTCTGAATGTTAGTGGTGAACAGACATAGAAAGAACTGACATTATTGAACAAAATACTGTAGGTCTACATTAACTCTTATATAGAACTAGCAGATTTCAAAAGAGCAGCACTTCAGCAGTGATAAACTATTCTAATGTGCAAAGAATCTCGTCCACGTGAAAGGTACCATATGACTGTAGTGGCAGTGGTGAAACAGCTTCCCTGCTGAAATTTAGAGGGCTCCTACATTTTTGTCCTCTCAGAAAGACCTGTTTCTTCACTCAGAGAATAGGTCAGGATATGAATTGAAGCCAGCATATATGCAGCCAATGTGAGGTTGTTATGGTGCCTTGGATAGTGTGATGGGATTTAATTTGGGGTGTTTATGCTTGTATTGTTTAGTTTATTTATATTAGTTAGGTTGTTGTTAGCTGCTCAGGATGGGTGGCCATATAATACTTTTGAAATAAATAAAAGACTCTTTAAAAATGGCTATTGTTCTATTTCCCAAATACCTAGAAAAGTTGCAAGGTTCCTCATCAAGACGTACTAAGTTAAAAGAACTGAATTCCAACAGAGACTCTCTCACAATGGAGTTGTAGCCTTTTGCAACCTCTCACGAAATGGCACAGCTGGGAGAATTCTATCCGCCAAAAGGAAAAGCTTTTCTCATTGCTAAAAATACAGAAAAGGGCTAATTTTGAAAAGTAACATTTGGTAAATCTCTCAGGAAAGCAGTTGCTCTTTTAAACTGTGTGTATAATGTTGCAAATTATAAATAATGCCAAACTTTTAAACAAAATCTGAAAAAGCCTCTTTGCATTTCACCAAACAATCTAAAGCAGGGGTCTCAAACACAATTTACCTGGGGGCCGCTGGAGGCAGAGTCTGGGTGAGGCTGGGCCGCATAATATTATACTTTATATTATACTTTATATTTATATTATACACTAATATTATACTTTCATATCACGGTGGGGGCCACAGGATATCATCCTGCGGGCCGCAATTGGCCCGCGGGCCGCGAGAATGAGACCTCTGATCTAAAGTATTCCCTAACTCAACTGATTATTGCAATGGAAGAAGATGCCTTTTTGTTCTTCATTACACAAGGAATATCAAATCATTCCCATCTCAGAAATTTCTTGGTTCAGGTATGAATGTTAGAAGTATTCTTTCAGGAACTTCAAGGTTTAGAAACAATCTTCCCGGAATATCGCTTTAGGGCAGGGAGGGTTAAAAAAAAATGTGGGTCTGTTGCTGTTTTCACGACCTTCCTCAGGCTGTTGGATAAACCAGATTATTTATCTGATGGAATAGTTGTGTGCTTTCCCAGGAACAATAAAATACCCACGATTTATTTTTAACAATAGCTGTCATAGTACTTTACTATTGAAAAAGTAACTACTGCTGGATCATGAAAGACAAGAAACTACTGCAGCTATCTGTAATAAAACAGCAGTTGTACAAAGCATGTCAAGATTCAAAGCCAGGAGAAACATATGCTACATCTGTGTGCTCGTGCAGTATGTGTATATGCAGATCTTTTAAACGGTGACGTGATTTCCTTGGAATTTTTCTCTTTTCCATTTTAGAAAGCACTCTATAATAAGGGTCCGCCAAGGGATTTAGCTAGGTATTCTTTGCCAGTTCCTTTTATTGCTAAGCTGTCAGTTAGATTTTGACAAGAGAACGTCTTTTGTGGGAATCCTTTGGGGGGAGAGACGGATGCCAAAACAGACATGGTGGAGGAAAGCATATTTGTGGTTCCCATGTTCGCTTGGCTTATGAAGAGTGAGATACTGTATATCGACTGGTTTTTACAGCTAAGACTATAAGTGAGTTAATGGAGATGAAAACTCTCTCTTTCCCTTTACTGCTTTTTCTGCTCTGTGTCTA